TGGGGTTAAACCCAGGAAGCCGACGAGCGGGAGTAACTCTTTACTGCTAGAGATGGTTATTTCGTTCAACTCGAGCTCTATATAGTGTACTATATGTGGTTCTATAGAAGTTCAGGGCCACATATTACCACCTAAGAGGTGCCAGTCGCAGTGTACGCTTTCTCTGCCAACGCCTGCACTGTCCAGAGACCAACATGGCAACTAACTAACACTTTGGGTCCAGGAAGGGCGACCCGTCCACCTGGAATCGTCGTTTCAAAGCCCGGATCGGCGGTCGACCGTTCCCCGGGTCGGTCGGCCGTTCGCGGAAGCCACGAAAACCACTAGTCACAGAAAACGATCTTCTCACGAGGCCAGCGAGATGAAGCTCATATATATCCGGTTTGGGCTCCAGTCGTACCTTCGTTTCGAAGGGACTGCGGTGGGTGCCAGGAGTGTCTTCTTGATTGGACATCATGATATCATGTGTGTGGAATCGGCCTGATGGTTTCCTGAAGCGCGGATTGGACAAACCTGGTCCCACCGCAGTTTCAGGGGGCTGTTAATTCCCATGACCATCCACAATCAGGTCCCATCATAATCATAGCTTTGTCCATTTACACTGTACATGCTTTTGCCGATGAAGGATGACTAGGGCAAGTTTGGTTGATGATGATCCACCAAGGAACCTATCTTCAAATTGGAGAAGCAGATGAAGCTGGTCGATGCATCAGATGATGAGCTCTTCCCCACGGCGAAAGGAAACAACTTGACTCATGGTGATCGGAGAAGGACTACTAAGACACAGGCCAAGCTTTTGGGATCGATGTTGTAAGTGATGGTTTCTTTTCTATCTCATTCACAGCAATCAAAAGGATTTTTTGTGTACCTCTTCGACTTAAGGGACTTGATGTGCCATTTACTTGGGGCCGTCTGAGCAGAGAGACTGCTCACCGGAGGTGTTTCATGAACCTGAAAAGAGGGGGGAAGTGACGGGAAGTGACTTCTTTCAAGGTACGGCACCATATGGTGCCACTCTGGGCAAGACAAAACAACCCAAAAAAACCTACCAGGACCATCCTGTCGGGGTGTCCTGGCTGGGCTACCCCACACTACCTATAGGCTTCCAGACAGGGCACCCCTTGGATGGTCCAGGTACTTGTATAGATAATTCAAAGCCTTCGCAAAGACGACCGAAGACTGTGGAATCTGAAGAGGATTGGCTCAAAGTAGCTTATGTAACCATACAGCTCATGAGGGATCTGGGAACTATCTTGAATGATTCTATGCACAGAACATCTTCTTCTTGGTCAAAATCGGCTTGTTTTGTGTGTGTGTGTCGTTCGTGGCTGGACTCCCTGCAGGTCTTATCCATGCTGGCCCCTTTGACACGTCTCATCCCCAGGTTCATCTTCAGGCGCCCTTCGAACCACGGAGCTCCGTCGCTCCGGGAATCGGAACTCGCTTCAACGCTCCATGGAGCCCCCCGCGACCATCTCTTGGGGATGAGATCAACTGAGGTTGAGCCTGAACCACTTGAATCAGTTGAACCACTTGACAGCATCCCATGAAGCCACCTACACTCAAGCCGAAACCGAGCTCGGGCCAGACTTCCTTTACCTAACGGGTCGGACACAGGGGGTGTCACCAGGGGGTCGGGACCCGGTTCGCAAGCCCTATGTGTTGTGAACCGGGCCCGGATTCAGAGGGCATTCGAATAGTGCGGCAATACATGGCAATCGACGGCAATCCCAGGTCCCAGGTCGTTATCTGGGGTGCTTTCGATAGACCCAGCCGTAGTGATGTGAAGCCTGGGCACCTCGAGGCTATCCGTTCCAGCACATCGAATTGCAGTGCACTTCGTCTGGTAGGCGACCCACGAATCATTTCTAACTCCTTCAGCTCGTGACCAAACTTGAGGCTTTTTGAGCTAAATAGTGACCCTCTTTTGAGAGGTTTCAGTGACCTCAACATACCAAAAAGGGGACGCACTGTTCAGAACTGGTGCCCTTCATGTCTCACCGTGTCGTTGGTCCATGTGAGTCCGCCATGTGGGTCACCTGTGAGCGAAGATGTCGAAGTCAAACATCGGGACGAAACAGGATCTAAAGCGATGCACTTGTAGAATTGCCCTTGTTGCTAGGAGCGATGCCCTTGGTAGCAGCGATCTTTTGAATCTTGCTTCAGGTTTGATCAGATCCGGGCTCCTAGATCACCAACAGAGACTGAAGGACCCCAGTTCGACTATACCCCAGTAGGGTCCTATAGGGTTGCATAACCTCTCTTGGCAACACCAGATCAAGGTACTCCTGGAAACTGACTGGGTTGTCATGCTTTCTCCATATTGATCCATAGAGTTTCTTTTTAAAGCTTATTTTCCTGCGCGAGGCGGAAGAAGATTCATCCTGAGTTCAGCGATTTCCGCCCGATGTTGCCGAACAGGACGTCCTAAATCCAATCCATCCAGCCTCGCATTTGTCAGAGGCTTTTGGCGGCCCATTCAAGTAAAGACATGTTCTATTTACACGCAAAAAACACCCTTATAGTCTTCAAGTATTCTTGTCGGACTTTGGGACTGTGGGAGAGACCTTTGGAAGTGCAGATTTGCACCGTACATCAGTCGTCCAACGGAGCAAACCTGACTTCAGATGCGCATCCTGAATATTTGTTGTTATTTTTTGCATCAGCATGCGCTTGTGTATCTACACATGCTTGCACTGCTGAGTCGGTCGTTGGAAAAGGTTGTGTGAATATGAACAACATGTTGAGCAGAACTGGCAGCACTGGCCGCTCATCTTGCCTCCTGATCACTTGACTGAGTGGTTTCATGATGGGCCATGCTACTTCATGGCTGTACTGAACTCGTGTCAGTGGTTATGATTCACGATGCATTCCCAACCCCATCTGGATCAACACCGATATCCTGATTGCCCTTGCCCTTGGCCCTCCTCATTTTGAGTATACATGCATGCGATGCATGAGATACTTTTGGGGAGTTCTACCATAGTCACTAGTCGGTCAAAAAGGACTCAAGAAGTGCAGGTTGTTAGTCACCAGCCTGAACTCTCCCTTAATTTGGGCTTTCCGAAAGCAACCTTTCCCGGCCGCAGTTATATGGGGATGACTTGCATTGATGCACCATGATGCACCTGGCTGCGCCAAGCAATTGTTGAATGTGTGTGTGTGTGTGTGTTCGCGTGCTCCTTTTCACCTAACGAGTTCCTTTTCAGCTTTCAAAACGCAGTTTTTTTTCCCGCGGTGGTGCAAGGAATAGAACTTGTCCATGGGTCGGAGATATGCCAGATCCATTGGGACAACTGAAAGTGCTTGTCGGACAACTGAAAGGCCGTTGACCCAGAGGGCTTCGGTTTCCAATCACGAGAACACGAGACAGCACTTCAAGCCTCATTAACTCACTAACTTTTTTTAAAACCATGTCTTATCGATTTGTGCCATGAGCTTGTTCGATCATCGTTGAGCACCATTTGTACACGAGGGTGACTGACCTGGGAGTTTTCCAGGTATGAGGAAGTTTTCAGGTCCACCCCAGTGTGCGAAGTGATAGGTGTGCGACTTGAGTTCACACCAACAGTGTGAGAGATGCTCGAGCATTTTACTCCAGCTGCAGTTGCAGCATTGCTTTGTGGGGCATGATCCGGAGTCCCGCACTCCTGATGAGTAGAATAGTACACTTGGAGCTCTGGTGCCAAGGTCCGCACGTTCAGAGACTGCAGTGTTCCTTATACAAGGTCGCATCGTCCAGTCTTGCTTGCGAGGTCGCAAAAGGCTGTGCGGTCGTTGATCCATTCGAGACTCGTGGGCCGCACTCGGAATCCGCCTGGCACGGATTCCGACCACCACCGTGGCGTTCTCAAGCCAGCTAGGGGTGGAAAAGGGTAGGCCTAAGATTGTCTAAGAGGTAGCGGCTACTGTTGAGCAGCTTCTTAGACTTTCATGCAGGCTCAGGCTTCTTCAATGGCAAGCTTCCTTGAAAAAGTCTGAATCTTTATGATTTAGTTCCTAATGCTGTTTTGGCGAAGCTTTACTTGCACTCTGATGTACGGTGATGTGTTCGACACTGTTATGTATAGGTTTGGAGGGTCCGGTCTCGTTGGTCGTCCTGGGGGGCACGTGTGACGCGGAGCGTTTTGGCTTCGGGTCGACTTCGGTGTCTCACACGGAGTCCTCGACTTCGACCGACTTCGCGTGCCGCGCGGCCGGAGACTTCGCGTCGGCATCAATCAACATCGGACCTCAAGGGGCGTTCCGGAGAAACTCCGTAGGGATCCTGAAACAGTACAGCGGTCCTCAAGAAGGTTGGGCTGCCAATGCCTGATCAACTGGTGAAACCAGACTCCCTTAAGAAAAGGTGAAGATGAATCTGATCTTCAGAGTCCCAGTCGATGGATTTCTTCGTCGAGGGTCTTGAGAAACCCATCGAGCCCAACTTCATCACGGACCCAAGGAGTACGTTCTACTGACCCGAAGAAGTGGGCCCGAACTATTCGAAAACTAATCCCAGACACTCCGTGAATGGAAATACCATATATCATCCGTATAAGATCTTCCAACTATGCAAAAGTTCTGCCTTGGGGCTGGTTTTATAGACGAAAAGGCATATATACTGTGCGGTATATTATATATTATAATTACAATGTTGTTTTTTTGCATTGACCCCTAGAACCAGCCCAATGTCGGATGTCAATCTGCTATCCATATGGAGTGTTATTAGAAATGGACACTGTTCGTTTCGCGGCCATTCGAGGCCAACATTCGAGGCATCGTTGGAAGATCTAATATGTTCCACCCATTCGACCCTCCATTACAACAGAAAAACATGGTACAAGCTAGCACCATCAAGCACGCACGTACCCAGACGCTCCATGTATGGTATATATGCCAGGGGTGGTTGAAACGGGGTCTGTCTGTGGCAGTCCGGCAGTGCCAGACAGGGTCGCGTCGGTATCTGGAAAGGCTCAGGGTCGACCCTGGACCCACACCATTTTCGCAACACAGCCCAGGTTGGACGCTCTGGGCCGCAGTGAGCAGCCCCGAGGGGGAGGCCTCCATGTAAGTCAGTTCTACGCCTCGTGGGTGAAGGTTTGGATTGAAGAGATGAGAGAGATTGAAGTCGGACAGAAGGAGTTTTTTGGGGTATAGACCGTGTATATATAGATCAATTGCAATATTATTTTGTGCTGATGTATGAATGTATAATACTATGATATTACCTGGACCATCCTGGGGGTGTCCTGTCTGGAGATCCCGGATAGTGGGCTGGGTAGTCCAGCCAGCTGACCCAGACAGGATGGTACTGGTATGGTTTATTGTTACTATACGTTATTAATATACCAGGATCATCCAATGGGTGTCCAATAGACTACTTAGGGATCTCCATTGGGCATCCATTGGAACTGCTAGGTATATATATATATATGTGGTTTATCAGCCAAAAACATCATCCTGTCTGGGTGTCGGCTACCCTACACTACTTACAAATCTCCAGACAGGGCACCCAGACAGGAAGTGCTAGGCTTATCAGCAAAAAACATTGATATCCCGTGCCTAACTGGCAACAGGTGTCGGTGCCTAACGAGGCCAACGCCCAGCTCAACACGCCGGAAACGGTTGACGAGCGACTCGCATGTTTTACGCCACGGGAGAGTGTTTCCATCCAACGGGAGAGCCAACCTAAGATGGATGAAGAACCGAAAGGAACCGCTTGGAACACTGAAGAACATTTGGCTGAAACTGAAGAAACAATCGTTTTGACTCAGCAAATGGAGGCAAAACACAACCAAAAACAGGAGCTGAAGAATTGGCGCTCGACATTTCTGGCCTGTCTCAAGAAGTACCTCAAAATACCACAAAATGATCGGGGAAGACCAGGTGTTTGATCTAGACCGGGGTCCAAAAATCGGAGTTGATCCGTGCACATATCCAACATAGATGTCAATCCAGAAAGCTCAAAAATCGTCTCAAGGACTATTGCATGTATATATGTGTGTGTTTCTTACCCCTTCAGGAAATCTCAAACATGTCAAACAATCGCAAGCAGCAATACATCTCAAACAAAGTCTCAGAAAATCTCAAACTTGTAGCAGCAACAGCATGCCTGCAGCTTGCACATGGCTCGCGGTGTGTGAGGCGTCATTTCCCTAGGGCTCCTGGCCCAACTACCTCCTTTTCCAAGATGGTGATGGTGGGTGCCAGGTGTCTAACCACCGACGGAGCCCTAGGGTTTGACCAAGACTCTCAGGGAACCGTGGTAAGACCAGAACAGGATGCAGAACGTGTCTCGTCTCGGTTCCGATGCAGTACTTCTCGGCGTGCGGTCTTGACCGCACCGTGAAGAGGGTCTCTGCAGACGCATGGGTTGCTCCAAATGTTCCACTGCCTTTTGCTTATATAATATGATATGTGTCAAAACAAAACGTTTCCCTGTGTCCCTGTGTCCACTGCTTTGTCCTTCCACTTCCTTCACTTCTTGGGCAATGCTATAGCGGAATGCTCGGAGTTTTGGGTGATGCCCAGAACCAACATCCTCGGGTTTTCGGGGACAAGACGTATGATTCGAATGTGGAACTCATGGAACATGTCTTAGCTATTGCATGTTTCAAATCGGCGCTGTTCCTCTTTTCTTCCTTAGCTATCTTCCGGCTCTGGCCATGCCTGGCCCATCAAATCCCGTTGAACCTCCTATACTGTATATGGATCCTGACAGGATGAGTTTGGGTTTGATTCAGTTTCGGCCTGGGCCTAGCAGGTCTCGACAAGCCGCCCTATATGCCACCCATCGAGGCGGGCGAAACCGCCTGGTGACCTGGTGTTGAATGGCTGAACATGATGCTACAACCATTCCTATAACCAGCAGAGGTTGAAGAACCCTATAGACTATCCTATAGGTACCCCTGTAGGGTCCTATAAGATCACTCAACCTCTGTAGGTAACCAGGGGTCAGAAGCGATATGGGAGAGTTCACAGTTCTCTCCAGCCCTGTGTGTATTTGTTTGATTGCTCAAGCCTACATCGATCCCCAAACCTCTGGCCTGATCGGGAGTCAGATGGCAATCCACAGACAGGTCGTTGGTAATTCTGATTCTTCAAGCAGGTGGTAGTGGTAAAATAGACTAATTCAGTCCTGCCATCTTGTTCCCCCTGTCCCCCTCTCATATAGCCCATATCTTCAGCAGTCCAGCACCCACACAGGGCACGCCCGCCACGGGGTGTCACCGCCGGGCGCAGGTGTCACATCCCGCAGGCAGTGCGATGGCGGCACGCCCGGGTCCTGGAGCTGCAGGCGACGGGTGCCGGAAGACAGTGGGAGAAGGGCGGTGGCTTTTGGGCCAATATACTATCCCTAGGGCTCCAAGGAGCATCTTACAAGGTGGGACTGGGGTGGGTTTAGAGGGTCCAGTTATACCTTCTAAGGAGGTACGACTGGAGCCCTAGGGTATATAACCTGAAACCAAACCCTCCCTCCAGAAACAACCATACCTTGACCCGACTTCAGGACCATGGACGTGAGTATCTATTTAACAAAAACATTATAAAACAGGTACGACTCGGTACGACTGTACTCATGTTCAGTGTTACAAACAGAGACTCCACATGTCGTGAAGCTTTGTTGCTTTTGGGCAATCCATTTGAGGTGGATGGAGTTTCTCCCAAGAGAGTTTGAGGTCTGCGGAGTCGGCAACATCCGTCTTCTCGGGTCGCGTTCGTGCGGTTGATGGGCCCCCGGTTCGTTCATTGGGGAGCTTGATGGAGCTTGGTTTAGTGTAAAAGTCTTATTAATGAAAGAAGGGTTGTTCGGAATTCAGACAGGAAGGTTATTTCTTCAAGGCTCCAAGCACATCCCGAGAAGGTACTTGGGGGGTGGGTGCCAGGAGACTTCTGTTCCTCTACCTTCTGAGGATGTGGGGCGGGCGGTTTCAGGGGGAAGTTTCTGGCGATCGAGGCCGCAACAAATCAGCAGAAAGGACATGTGAATTGCACAGGGATCCAAGTACTCACCCCTAACACCTTCTTAGAAGGTACTTGGAGCCCTAAAAAATTGCAAAAGGGGCAAGACAGGGGAGCGCAGGCGAATGAGAGTCCAAAGTACTTCGCTACCTGGCTATGCCACCCCAGCAGGCAAGAACAATACTGCATCATCATTTGAAGAACACCATATTCAACATTATCATTATGATTGTCACAACTTTGACACCTTCTATATCCCAGACACTCCATGGGACTGCTATATATGCCGCCCCATTGACCCCTCAAAACCACCCCTGGCCCGATCGGCACATATACCAGTCCCATTAGTCGTGTCTGGGTCTTATACTTAGTTCGCCATACACCATCCCTGGAACTCCTGCCACTCCCCCGCATCTGCCCCCGACCGCTTGCCCGATCGTCGATCGCAGGACTCGTTGCAGGCAGCTTGCCCATGACCACGGTCGTCGGCCTGGGTGTGTCGCCCAGGGGCGCAACTGGGTGGAGCTGGGCGAGTCTTGGAGTCCCACTCCCTCAGAAGGTAGATGCAGAAAGTCGCCTGGCACCTACCCCCACCCACTTGAGGGTGTGGTTGGAGCCCTAGGCATACAATGATATCAACAGAAGTTAAGTGACCTGAACTAGGACCCTGCTGGGGTACCTATGGGATAGCCTATAGGGTTCTTCAACCTCTGCTGTTATGATATCAATGATACAAATCTCTCGTGCCGCACGAAAACAGGTGCCCATCACACCGGACTCAAACCACCATCCTGTTTGGGTGTCCTGGCTGGACTAGCCTACACTACTTGGGGATCTCCATTGGACACCCATTGAATGGTACAGGTACATTTACCCCATTTATGCCCTATCCATGGTAACTATTCCAGTCCAGGTACAGTCCAATGTAAGTAACCCATCGTGGTAAAGGATAGTAAAGGTATTACTGGTTCTTAGGGACCATGAGCCTGATGGCCCAGCCCAAGGTATGACAGTTGATGATTGAACTGCAGGATGCTACAGGTATATTAATTTAAGGGCTTACGCCCGACAGCCGGCCAGGGGCCCAAGCAAAGGGCTTGTTGCAGTCGTGGTAGTGTTCTTGTCGTTGTTGTTGTTGTTGTTGTTGTTGTGGTTCTTGTCGTTCTTGTGGTTGTGGTGGTGGTGGTTGTGGATGTGGCCGTGGGTGTTCTGGGGGGTGGTTGTGGGGATGGTTGTTGTTTGTTTTGTTAGCCCAGCAGCCGCCCACGATGCAGACGAAGCACCCCGGTGATGCACGCATTTCCAGCATTATTGGGGCCTATGTTGGGCCTATCTTGAGACATGTTGACCCATCTTGCGCCCCAAGAGCGGAAAAATGGAAGAAGCCGAAAACACTGTAAAACACACGATTCCTGTGGGGTCGAGCAGGGGTCGGCGGCTGGGGCGGGACTTCTCTCCTTCGGAGAGGAGAGACTGCCTACGGCAAAGACACGGCCATGGCGGGGCCCCATGGGCACCTGGCCGGATTTAAAGGCTTACGCCTAACAGCCGCGCGCCGGCCCACTTGGGTCTGTGGGGCGTATGTCACGCCTATGTTGGCCTTGGTGGGGCGTATATTGAGCAAAGTTAAGCTATCTGGCGCGCATCTTGGCCCTAGGTCGGGCCAAGTTGGGCCCATGTGGTCTATGTTGGGCACATCTTGGGCGCATGTTGAGCCTATGTTGGGCCTATGTTCGCCTATGTTAGGCCTATGTGGCCTAGGTTGGGCCTACGTTGGGCCTATGTTGGCGTATGTTGGCCCCAGGTTGGCCCCGTGTTGGCTTATGTTGTTGGGCATATGTTGGGATATGTTGGCTATCTTCGGCCTATGTTGGGCATATGTTAGGCAATTTATGTTGAAAAATATTCCGAGACAACTTTTTACGATTTTTTCCTTCCCGCAAAGCAAAAACCCTGAAAAACCTACGTTTTTGAACATCGCCAAGATGAAATTCTCGGCCGCCGAGGGGCCCAAAACCCTGTAAAACACAGTGTTTTTTATACCTCACACACACGAAACACTGTATATAAATTACAGGGGCATCAGTGCCCCGGTGGTCCCCCCGTTTTTCGTGGCGAGGGTCGGCGGCAGCCAGGGCCAGCGTCTATAACCTTCGGTTACCACCGAAGGCCTCCGGCGAGGACACGGGCGCGTGGCCGGCGCCCGGATTTAAAGGCTTACGCCTAACAGCCGGGCGCCGGCCCACTTGGGTCTGTGTAGGGCTGGGTCGGGTGAACGTTAAGCTATCGGGGGCATACTGGGCCCTGGTGGTGCCGGAAACGGGTCCGCGTCGGAGACGGGGGAGCAAAGTTAAGCTATCTGGTGCGCATCTTGGCCCTAGGTTGGGCCAAGTGGGGCCAATGTGGTCTATGTTGGGCACATCTGGAGCCCATGTTGAGCCTATGTTGGGCCTATGTTGGCCTATGTTAGGCCTATGTTGGCCTATGTGGGCCTAGGTTGGGCCTATGTTGGCCCCATGTTGGCCTATGTTGGCCCTATGGGAGGCATGTTGGCTATCTTGGGCCTATGTTGAGGATATGTTAGGCAATGTAAGTCGTCTGGAGGGCCTCTACCCACAAAATGTCGATTAAGCCTGTCCGCCCGGCGCGCATTACCGACACCACCCTTCAAAAACACAGCATTTTTGCATTTCTCCCTTTTCCCCGCGTCGTATTTCGATATGCGCAATAAACCCTGTAAAACATAGTGTTTTTTTTATACCTCACACACACGATACACTGTAAATTATAGCGACCTCAGTGAACAGGAAGTGACCAGGGGGTCCCCCCGTTTTGGTGACGAGGGTCGGCGGCAGCCGGCGCGCCCGTCTATAACCTTCGGTTACAACCGAAGGCCCTCCGGGCATGCCACGGGCGTCCTGGCCGGCGCCCGGATTTATGAGGCTTACGCCTGACAGCCGGGCGCCGGCTTATTTGGGTTTGGGTATGTGCAGGGCTGGGTCCTCTTTGTCTCTCTCTCTCTCTCTTTTTGAGACTTGGTGGGGCCTATATTGAGCAAAGTTAAGCTATCTGGCGCGCATCTTGGCCCTAGGTTGGGCCAAGTTGAGCCCATGTGGTCTATGTTGGGCACATCTTGGGCCCAAGTTGAGCCTATGTTGGGCCTAGGTCGGCCTATGTTAGGCCTATGTTGGCCTAGGTTGGGCCTATGTTCGGCCTATGTTGGCGTATGTTGGCCCATGTTGGCCCTATGTTGAGCCATCTTGGAGGCTATGTTGGGCATATGTTGGGGATATGTTGGCTATCTTGGGCCTATGTTGGGGATATGTTAAGCAACTTATGTGCCCAACACACACGAAATGTCGATTAAGCCTGTCCGCGCGGCATGCATAACCGACACCATGGGCGCCCTGTTAGGCGAAAGTCGTATCCGCCGACGCCCACGAAACATTGTAAAACACGATGTTTTTGAACATCCAACGCAAAAAAATTGGTAGATACATATACATCCGTCGACCGGATTCGACCGGGGGTCGACCGGGGGTCGACACGGGGTCGACACGGGGTCGGGCGGAGGTCGACCAAAAGGGTCGGCGGCAGGGGCGGCGAGCGTATATAACCTTCGGTTACCAACCGAAGGCCTCCGGCAAGGACACGGGCCCGTGGCCGGCCCCTGCCGCCGACCCCGGGACAGGACAGCATAGTCCCGGACCAGGGGTGTTCCACTGGTCAGGCCCGCTACACTGTGAGCAAGCGCCAGAGGGGCTCGCACGTTGCTGTAGGTTGCGGCTCCAGTGATGCATGTTTTCGAGCAGCATGGAGCATTGGAAGCGTCTGTTGCTTGCAGGTTCGTGCTGAGACGAAGAAGCGCGCGCAGCAGGTCATTGCAGGGCAAGCACTGGCTGCTGAGCTGCTGGCGGAGTATGGAGAAGGAGGACGTAGCAGCAAGAAGCGTCGATTATGCTTGCATTTAGCGGAAGTCGTGGCAACCAGTGTCGCGGTGGCAAGCCGAGCTAGAAGTGTAGGGAGTGATGGTTGACTAAGGGCCTTGTGCACCTCAGTGTCGAGCTCGCGGTGACCAGCAGAACTATGCAGTTCCCTCATGGGACTGAGGCACTCGTGTGGCCTCATGCACTGAGCAGCCCCCCAAGTTAAAGAAGTTAAAAACTTCCTCAACATAGGTTATAACTAGGGATAACATATGTTATAACCTTTGCTAAGTTCGATAAGTTCCTTGGAAGTTATAACACAAATATAAGTAAGTTCTAAAACATGTGAAATTTATAACATAGTTATGACACATGCTATGTTGAAGCTTGCAGAACTTAGAAACAAGTTACGCAAGTTATTTTTTTAATGTTTGTTTTTTGATGATTTGTAAGTTCTGTGCAAAAAAAAGTATATTCACCAACAAGGTTAATAAGTGCTCACATTGATACCATCCCGCAGTCAATGTGGAACCAGGAGATGAAACTTGTGTTTCGCTCCACCTGCAACCAGAAAGCCACGAAGACGGAGAAAAAGCAGACTTGCAAAGACAAGACAAAGTCGAATACCAAGAAGTCTGTGATGAACAAGTTTTGAGGGATCGCAGGAACGAGCTTTCGATGAACAAGTTTTGAGGGATCGCAGGAGCGAGCTTTCGATGAAGAAGTTTTGAGGGATGGACGAGCTTGCATTCCGAAAAAGAACGCAATGCAATTATTTAACCTTTGGCGGTTGTTCTGCCCAGAAATGCAATCTTGTATGGAAAGAAATTGTTTGTGCGCAGACATACCGATCATTTTTTTGCGATAGAAACGGAAGGCGCAGGGATACAGAGAGATACACAGGGATACATTGGGATAAGGGGATACACCGGGATACACCGGGATACATTGGGATACACGTGTATCCCCTCACCAGGATACACAGGGATACATTGGGATACACGTGTATCCCAATGTATCCTGGTGTATCCCCGTGTGTCTCCTTAGACCTCCTTACCACCAAGTTTCTTTGTCTATGGCAGACACTTGAGGGCTCAAAAAGTTTTCTTGCGCAATTTGAATCAAGGAAGACAGAGCAATTTCATCTATGGAAGCCGCAGCTTGCAGGAACATTGTATGAGGCTGAAGAAGTTCGCAATGCTTGTGGCCTTGAGTGCCGCATGGGCACCACATACAAAGAGGGAAGCGTTGAGTTATCGAAGGATGATGTTCTCTTCTTTGGACGTGACAGTGCAGGATTGGCTTTGTTCTTTCTGGAACGAGAAGAGCGATTTTTCGCTTTCATCGAACAACTGGTGGAAGAATCAGCAGCGGTTTTCAACACTCGCGCGTTCAAACGAACGCCCCAGATCGAAGCTGTGCCAATCGGTTGCAGCAATGTCTGGCGGCCAGCGTGGTGGTACCACGAAGATGACAAAGTCGTGTGTCTGCTGTAAAAGTGCGACTGCCTGTGGACTTGTGGCGGTTGTGTGCCCAGAATTTGAAAACACTTGTGTTTTCTGTGTTTTTGGCTCGGCGGTTGTCTGCCCTGATTTTTGGCAACGCAAACAACTTAAGCAACTTAATAACTTCTACAACTTTCTTATAACTTACTTACACTTTCTTTCATATAACTTACTTATAACTTATTTTTAACTTCAGTAAGTGCTATAACTAAAGTTATAACTATGATAACTTGGGGGGCTGCTTAGTGTGGGACTGAGGTCTTACACCCAAAATAGTGGCAGACCAATTACTCAGCCAATGGGCGCAGACATGGCCCAGCGCTATTTCAGGTGGCCTACCTTTTCGTGGGGTGCAGGATATCGCATTCCTTCAACAATTCCAAATTGAACAAGCCAAAAAACGCGCTCAGCCATGGAGAGGGTTCACCTTGGACCTGATCAAGGCCTTCAATCTTTTGCCTCGTCGCATCATATACCACCTTCTTATCCACCATGGTGCCTGCTGCCGAGCACTTGCTGAAGCTAGCTGCAGCGGAGCCTGACAGCTTCACGACGCTCCTTGCTGAAACGCTGGCAAGGCTGGTGCTGTTTACCGGAGAGCCGTTCAGCTGGGAGCACTGGCTGTATCTTGCTGATGCTCTACAGGGACATCTGATGAACTCCGATTTCCGGACTGCGTTGACAGTCCTGGCAGCTGAGTCGAGTGAAAATTGTCCTCCGGGAAGCCTTTGAGGAAACGCCTCGTCTGAATCCTTAGAAAAGACAATGGCTTTTCTCACGCTGGCCACGAGACCGCTGCTCTTGACAGGCCGCGGCCCCAAACCCGAAACAAGCTTCCACCAGTCCGTGATGCAGCCTCCAGCAAACCCTACGTCCAGGCCAAAAATCATCCAAAAACAGTTCGTACCCTCCACACCATGCTCGCACCCTCCTGCCAAGGCTCCCGGCAATCTCCTCCGCCACGCCTGTCCACCATCTAATTTGAGACCACAAATCGTCCAAAAATTGTCCTCCCAGTGCGGGCTAGCAACGCTCACATACCGCTGTCGCTGTATCTGGGTGTCTAACATCGCTCAAAAAAGGTCGTGACGCAGCCTCCATCAAGCCCTACTTCCAGACCACCAATCATCCAAAAACAGTTCGTCCCCTCCACACCATGCTCGTACCCTCCCTCCAAGCCTCCCGGCAATCTCCTCCGCCACGCCTTTCCACCATCTAATTCGAGACCAAAAATCGTCCAAAAATTGTCCTCCCGGGAAGCCTTTGAGGGCTGCCAAGCGCCTCGTCTGAATCCTTAGAAAAGACAATGGTTTTTCTCATGCTGGCCACGAGACCGCTGCTCTCGACAGGCCGCAGCCCCAAACCCGAAACAAGCTTCCACCAGTCCGTGACGCAGCCTCCAGCAAACCCTACGTCCAGACCAAAAATCATCCAAAAACAGTTCGCACTCTCCACACCATGCTCGTGCCCTCCCTCCAAGGCACCCGGCAATCTCCTCTGCCGCGCCTGTCCACCATCTAATTCGAGACCACAAATCGTCCAAAAATTGTCCTCCCAGTGCGGGCCCAGAGTCTCTAACGTCGCTGTCGGAGCATTTGCGGGGTGCCAAACGCCCCATCTGAAGCCCCAGCAAAGACCATGGTCTTTCTCACGCTGGCTACGAGGCCGCTGCCCTCGGCAAGCCGCAGCCTCAAACCCGAACCAAGCTTCCACCAGTGGCTTGGCTGCGAAACCAGCTTCCATAGTCCCTTGGCTGCGGCGCCGGACGTGGCCCCAGGTCCCGTTTTCACGGCCCACTTCGGCTTGGCTGTTGTCTCAGCAGCGGCCACAGGACCGCCAACCATGGCATGACGCATGCTCCCACACCAGTAATCCCTCGCGCGCTCCCCCTTCCTGCGGCCGGGGTCGGCGGATATTGGTATAAATGTTCTATACATGGAGTGATTTGTTCGTTCTGTGCCCAGACTCGGTCGTGCGTATCAGGCTTCATTTGGCCAGAGCGGGCTGTTTGGGGGCCGCTTTCGGGGCGCCCCACAGAGGAAGAAGGCTTTTTGAATGGCAGGTCAACATAGAGCTCCTTATGATCAGGTCAAGCTCCTTATGATTATTATGGTGTTTCTTCGGATGGGTGGATGGAAAATAGAAGCTTAGCAAGCGTTTCCGGCAAAACACGGGTTTTCCCTAGATTGAGAGACTGATGGTGTTGGTGGGGAGGTCCGTTGGTTGGATGGGTGTTTTGAACACCGGAACTTAGCCTTCTCTTGGAAGGATGACCCTGAGAGGAAAAGCTCACTGAAGGATCTTGCACCATGGAACAAATCCTGCACCACTGGAGGACAAAGCATCCTCTAATTTGTGTGGTCGCTGTTTTTTCTTGTTTTTTTTCCCAACGTTTTGCTTCAATGGTCATTCCACAGGTTGGGGTGATCAGAGAAACGCAGGCATCGCCAAAGTGGACATCCTGGACATCTTCATGTGTCCCAGAGTTGGCCCCCGTCAGCCACACTTCAGTGTGCCCTTGAACTGATTTGCGGCTGCCAAAAGCTTCAAGGCAGCTTGGAGCCTTATCCTGGTCTGGAGCCTTATCCTGGTCTGGAACCATATCCCACCCTTGGAGTTGACGCGAGATCCGCCGGGTTGCTCAGATCCGCTCGGAGGTCTCAGGTGGACTTGCGGTTGCTCGGATGTCCCGGGTGTGTTTGGTGCGGTAGAGGAGTTATGGAGGGAAGTGAGCTCGGTCTAGTGTTACAACTCGGCCAGTTGGCCAGGCCAATAACCCAGCCACCTCTTCGGGGAAGTGATTGCCAGGGCTACAAGTCAGGTTATATTATATAGGTGGATAATACACACAGTTCAGCTGCTTCCATCATGTCAACATGTTTTTTCTTGTCCAATGGCATATATACTTGGAGGATTACGTGACGAAGGACCACATTGGCACTTCTGAGAACTGCGCAAGCTGGAACACTGGAAAACACGGAGCCTGGCATGTGGTTATTGACCGATTATCATTCTGCGTTTTGATGTGCCGGTTGTGTTGAAGTCTGGATTCTCATTTGACAGGATGACTTCTGCAAACTTGGAACACACCGTGAAGCCCAGAAAAGACCATTCATTCTATCATCCACACAATGCAAGCGCAGGTCCTAGCACAGGTCCCAGTCAAGAGGATGGAATCCACATCAGGGGCCCTGTCCAAATTCCATGTGTATCTCTTGGCGATGAACATCCAGGGCCATTTGCTAAGCCCTCGCTAGCCCTTGCCTAGTCATGTGCAGTCTGCCCCGTCCGTGTGACTACAGACACTATGGATCAGACATGAGACCGTAGGATCCAGGGTGACAGAACCTATCGCCTACATGACTGGTGGTTTTTGCTGGTGAATGTGAACGACAGGTTGCGTTTGGGGTGTCCAGGTCTAAATCCTTGCTCAAAAGGTGCACCCCTCAAGCCCTCCTTAGCCGTGCTTCGCCGTGCCTTTTCTGAGGCTAGACATCCCGCAGGCTGCGGAGTTTCACGGAGGGGACACAGCTTGTCCGGACATCGAAGAAGGATTTCAAGAAGATCATGCATGTGTTTTTACTTAAAAAAGGGTGACGTTTTCCTTAGATAGGTGAACCTCCATCCATCCGAGGAATGCTTAGATCTGATCCTTTTTTCCCGGCGGTCCAGCAACAGCAAATCCAAAGTCTTGGGATGGATGTTGGAGTCGACCTTCAGGAAGGGCACTGGATAACATGCAGGCGGTTGGATGGCAGAGCCATCCAGAGTTCACGACAAGTGCCGACTATGGTGCAATCTATATCCCTGCTGTGCACTGCGGAGTCGGACGAGAACCTTGCTGGTCCGAGGAGACATGGTCTGAGGACCTAGGGAGAAGCTCAGGGGTGAAGAGCTGTTCGCCCGAGCAGGAAAAGCCATGTAGACGAGTTTGACATGACCCACGATGCCCAGTGGAGCGGCTGGAGCTAGCCGCCCAGCCGATCCGATTCGGATGAACAGACTGAGAGGATATTCCGAGTGAGGTTCATCTTCTTGGGCTTTGCTTAAGGGAGATGTTTTTGTTTTATCATGATTTATCAACGTGGAATCCTCATGTTTTTTTTTCAGGCTCCTTCATTCAGCACATCCAAGTCGACTGGGCCCTCCCACTCTAAAGCAGCCGAGCGATGCGGTGTGCGCACGGAGTCTCGGGACATGTCGTGACATCGCGAGGGCGGTCCGGGCGGTCCGGAGAAAGGAGGACGTAACGTGGACCGAAGTAATCCTTCAAAGCAAGGAATCATGTCGGCTGTAGACTCTTGATAAATAGCCCCCTAATAGGAATTAGTGTTTTTGTTGTCGGGATGGGTTGCTTGATCAAGAGTCTACAGTTAGGAGTGTGAAGCTCCGTTAGGCCGAGTTTGAAGTGTCTCAGAGGGAGGTGTCCGGGGGTCCTGGATGGAATAGCTAGTACTATATCCCTAGGCATCCAATCCTATACAGTCTTAGAAGGTACGACCGGACCTTCCAAACCTACATATATAACAGTGTCTCCTTCCTCACCGTACATGAGAAGGTGCGACTGGATCCCTATAGTGCTTCGATCCCCAGGGTATGGATCCAATGTCCTTTTCCAGAAAGACTGGTCGCCGATTTTTTCATTGAAACATCTCCCATGCAAGGCGCCTTTTTGCTTTGGTCGGGTCGACCTTGGAGATCTGTGGGCGTTTATTGGAATGGGGAGAGTCCCCATAGACCTCTTGGAAGAAGAAAACCAAATGAACTCAGACTCAGACGACCAGTCAGGGGGTCAGGGGGTCTCACGATGTAAATACACACCCTTGTCACCACCCAACACATATGAATTTCATGCTTGGGGCTGTGTTGGGGATCTGATCTCTTCAATTTCGGCCTTCACCGGCCTTGCCCAGAATGCCCAACACAGGATTATCAGCCTCCCAGAACACTTGGAGAGGGTCCTTCTATTTTTTCCCAAACACTGTGTCCACACTATATAGGGGTTCTTACGGTAGGGTTAAGGAGTGGTGTTTGATCAGAGGTGCTCATCGAAGTGTTTGGCTAATTCGCTGCTATTTACAGCACATTCATTCACCTCGGAATCTTCAAAGTGCATTTCGACTTCGCAGGCTCGCAGAATCTGGTACTCTTCGGGACCTTCGGGACTGTGCTCTCGTTGTGGTCACTTGCTGGCCAACTTGGCAGCGTGCTGCATCAGGTTCACTCTTTGCTTCTTGTTGTTAAACAGTTATATAAGGATATATAAACAAAACATGTGTTGAAGCAAGTGTGATGCGACTGTTCGTATTGTTGTGCCACAGATGGATTAGTTCCAACCAGCTTCCGGCGCCAGGCTTGAGCCGCAGTTCTGCTTGGTCATTTCCCACGCTCTATCCAACATCCAAGAAATGCTGCATAGTGCTGCACTACTGACATTTCCGCCGCCTGCCCCAAGAAGTATGTTTACAAGGACACAACATACAAAGAAGAAAATGTAGAAAGCCGTGGGAAAGTGTCTATGACACTATGAGGTGATAAAATCTGCCAAACAAATGCGACGCTGTGGGACAAACATCGGGACAATTCTCCACTGAACACAAAGAACGGCCCTTGGCAACAGCAGGTCTCGCCAGATGTTGGCAGAAAACACCTTTTATAGGCGAAACCTTCGGGGAAGACAAAAACTGAACAACTTGTTTCAGAACACCGAATTGACCTGATCTCTAGAATCATCACAGTTAAAAATCGAACACTGGTTCCAAGGGGAAAATTTTCCAGGACCAAAGCAATGGGTCTTACATGGTCTTACAAGGTTTCCCGATGCAACGGGAGTTCGCCAACGTGTTTTTGTGGACACATTTGACCAGCTGTTTGGAGCGTCTGCTAAAGAACGGCCGCAGGTGAGGGTGACTCGGAAGCACGCCGTGATCGTGAGCACACCGAGGAGGCGTTTGGGGCGGGTCCGTTTCGCAGGTCCGAAAGTAGGAATTTTAGTGGTTTTTCAATACCCAAGAGGTCAAGGATCTCAGTGGACCTAGTCATGCAGAAAAATTGTTCGAGGAAGTCGCTTGGACCAGGCTTTACTGGGTCTGGCTGGATTTGGGATAAGAAGTACAGTATTTTAGTTTGTTTGTTTGTTCAGTATTGTTTATATATAAGGTGACGATTTTTGTTTTGGTGTTTGGAGTTTCCGGAGAAGCAGCATGCCTGGGTTCAGGTGCCGGGGGCTGTGGAGGATATCGGATATTGTTTTTTCCGACGTGTTGGGAGACGAAGGGGAGAGGAGGAAGGAGTCTCAGGAGTGAAGGCCCCATGTTTTCTTTGCGCAAAAATGTTTCACTGCGGTCACAAGGAATCTGTTGCTTTCCACCCGAAGGAACCCCCGCTATAGGGTTGTGGGAGAAAGCTCGGATGCCAAGAAAAACACTTGCAGAGCCCTTGGCTCTTTGAAGCAAGTGATGTTCTGGACTGATATTTGGTGTCCTGACTTCTCATTTTTGTTTTAAGAGAAACCTTTCTGGTGATCAACGCATTGAAGATTCCAAGGGTATCCAAGGCCCGACCTTTGTTGGTCATTGCGAGATCCCAGTCATTGCAATGATATGGGAACACCCATCTACCAAAAAACATATCATGTATACATAGACTATTGTAGACTCTTGATTCACAAACCATATAAAACATTCATCGTTTAATGTTGCAATATGTTGCATATGTATAACCCATATCTGCAGGGGGTTACACATCATCAACCGTCGGCACATCTGCGGAGTCTGTACTCTTCCCAACACGAACCGGCTCCTCTCCGCTGGAAATCCGCTGACCAGTCGTTCCGCGGGTTCTTCTCGCGGCCTCTCGGCTCAGTGTGGGTGGCTCCGGGGGGGTGGAAACGAGTCTTCAGAGACCGAGCGCGCCATGATGCCGGAGGCGAGTCCCTCCGTTGAGGACCGATGACAACGACGACGACGGACGTCCGTCGACGGATGGGTCGATTCCCGCGGAGATCCTTCAGTTCGAAGGAGTTGGTGTTCGGTCGAGTGTTGGTGCGTGTGTTGGTGTTTGTTCGAAGGGTGTTTTTTCCGCGAGTTGGAACGGAAGGATCCCAGACACTCCATGTGACTGCACATTGACCCCTTGGCATCCCTGGCCGTTTCGGCAGTCCACAGTCCCAGACAACCCGGTAGACGTGTAGACGGGATGGTCAAAGGGGTTCAAGACCATTCGAGAAGCCTGGTACACGCGAAGCCTCCTTTGGACCAGGTACGGCTTCAGGACCATGGTAGACGTGAAGCCTGGTATCCCGTGACTGGTCTCCTGTCTCAACTCCGGTTCGGTTCGATGGTGATGGTGGGTGCATTTGGGGTGAAAGGTGCTACCACCGGTGACCTGAGGGTATGGGACGGGCCGTTTGGAGCCCGGAAGAATTGGAGTGCTGAGACACTGTACGTTCCCAATCCCAGAGGTGTGCGTCTCACTTTGTGAGTGGGGCGTGTGGCTGGGTATATGTCCATATCATCAATGTCATTTGGATCTACCTGGACCGTCGGGGTTTGGCTGGTCAGTAGGGGGCTGGGTAGTCCAGCCACACCCAGACAGAATCGACCGGTCGCTGGTAGTATCCATCCTCCCCAGTCAATAGGGAGAAAACTAACTCGCAGCGACCACGGGAGCCAACGCAGACCTTCTAAATGTATGGAGGGAAGGAAGGTGTTGAGGTTTGTCATGAGAAATCCACTGCTTTCCTTCTGATGTTTCTACCTGTGAGATCAGAAAGGCAGGGGCTCAGATGCTTTCTTGGAAAGACTAGTGCATGCATGAGCTTCTTCAAGCCGCCCACTTTCGTTCAGGAGCCCCCGAAGACAGAGGAGCCACCCTCGCTGGCACGCCGCTGCGGCCAGCGCTTATTGCAGAGCAAAGGCACTCAGGCCCCGAACACGCGAACGCGCGCGTGTGCACGCGCGGACAAGGCGGATAACAGAAAGAAGGGCCCAACGACATGTTCACCATTTTGTTGGGGGGGATTGTTTTGCCATCAGAAGGATGTGTTGGTGAGACGTGTAATCATCCTGGAGCAGGGGTGGACCAAGAAGATAAAATGTAGATCAGTCTCCAAGTGTTCATGCCTAGAATTTCCAACTATGCAACATGTTTGCCTTTTGGCTGTTTTTTAATAGATGAAACGACATAATTTTTGCACAGTTGGAAGTTCTAGCTATTTCGCTTGACATCCACTTCTGATTCCGGATGATACGATCCATGAGGGCGTTGGCGGACGCGCAAGGCGGTCTCAAAATCATTCCTGAACACCTGGGAGTAGAGTAGACAATGAGCTATGCATGAGCTATGCCACTGAACTCAAGTAGACGGGCAGAGTGTTCGATGATGTTCGATGCATCTAGATTCTAGATCTCATGGGGGGCTTGTTGATGCTTACGAAGCAACTGTTTTTGGTTGTGTGGGTCCTGATGCGGTAATCAAAGCATGTTAAAGCTCAAGTAAAGCGCAAAGAAGCAAGCCACCCTTGCACTTCCCGCCACAGAGATCTGTACTTGAGGAGTGATAACTCCAAACAGGCAGTCGGTTCCATTTCACCTTCCTGACACCGACCAGATACCAAGAAGGAGTAAATGGGTTTGAGGACAGATCAAGAGAGGTGACGGTTGTGAGCTGTAGAGAAGCAAGGATGAAGCCTTTCTGGAATCTGAAAACCACACAATCAGATGCATAGACTCTGACCTCACGATGCCAGAGACCAGAGGATTGGTGGTTTTGTATGGTTTTGTTGGGGTGCTGGTCTTCCTGGCAAGTTTGATGGACTTGTTGGTCCTTTTGTTGCTTGCTTGCTGGTGAGGTGTTCATCGGAGTGCCGACCTCAGGACTGTCAGTCGATTCCGAACGAGCACAGGGCTGGTGGGGGCGTTGCACGTATGGAACACATGAGCGAACGTTCGAAGTGTCGGTGGGCTAGTGACACCAGTCGGTCTCCTGGTGTGATCCGGGTGCTTCGGGGGTCCAGGGCCATTCCGTTTCCTTCAGATTGGTTGGGACTGTCAGACACGGGATCCGGACTGACTTTTTGAAGGAGAACCCTGGACATTTGAGGCCTGGCCTAGTCAGGAACAATGGACCCTTTTTACTTTGTTGGTGGTTTTCCACTAAACAAAAGCAGGTGGAACAAACATTAAGCAGCACTTTCCAGTGAAACTGCGGGTGTCAGGAGGTGTTTTCATCGTCTTAGCACTCCCCACCCAAATTGGCACGAAGACCAGCGACAGCGGATGCGCTTGCCAAAACTTAATGCCTCTATACTTCTTCTTTTTGCCTCCCGCACAAGATGGGGGCTTGGATTTGTGGATCTTTTAAAGAGTCAACAACACAGGTCGCTGGTTGAAAAGTTGTCTGGCCGCTGCAGAGCGCTGCCCACATTTCTTAGATTATTCTAACGCAGACCTATTTTGGGGTGAGAATTAGACTGGACCAAAAACCCAAACCAAAGAACATTTGAAGTTTTTGCTATGCTTTTTGCCGCTTTCTGGGCTTGGTATGGTTTTTGGTTTGGGGTGTGCTGTCCTGCTGCTTGTTTGCTGCTGCTGCACCTCATGTCACCCTGGTGTGACCCGGTCGCACCGGGCCCCTCCATGGGGGATTAGCAGGTTCACCTGATTGTGACTAAAGTGTGCACTAGTATCCATTTCGCGCTAAAAAATGCAGCTGATGCATTAAAGACATCCTGCATTCCCAGCATCTTTCACATGTTGGTAATGTTCAAGTTGTGTACAACTGCAATCTCCAAGCAGTGGCCACTGGTTATACAAAGTCCCTAGTCCTAAAGCTATGTTTTGCCCTACAAACTGAAGGAAAGGAAGTTCTTTCAAAGATCATTCTTTCAAGTAGTTCTTGACTCCCAGGGATGTTGTACCTGGCCTCGTTTGGAGGCTACGCACAAAATCCCACCCCAGTCAGCTTCAGGTGCTGCTGGGCCTCAGTGTGGGGATCCTGCTCGCCGAGGTGTGGATGGAGGGTGCGGTTGGTTTGTTCACGTGTTTCTTCATGTGTTTTCATGAGTGACAGAATGCATGAATTCATCAGCAGACCGGCTACGCAGATGACTTCAGGGCCTTGAGAAAGTAAAAGCAGTGTGAGTTTTGTGTTTTGAATCGATCATGTGTTTGTTGTTTGGTCTCTTTTGCTTCTCCTGTGTTTGCTTTTATTCGCTACCGCTACTATGGGACAGGCCACAGGCCGCCACCATGTCCAAAGAACCAGCGATGGGTTGCGCGTGAAGGGCTTTAAACAAGAAAAGACTTCCAAGAGTTCAAAAGACGCCGTGAACGTCGTCCTAGACGACCACAGGTCAGCTCACCCCCCCGGGCGACGTCGTTTTCGGCTCAACGAGTCCGATCCAGGTGGCTCCGGAAGAGTCGGTGATCAAAGCCTTGGCTTTTCCCGGGCACCTTGGAGATATCTGGAGGTCGAGTTTCATGGTGTATATGAGGTGAAGATAAGCACCGATGGGAACTGGCTAGCCCATGGAAAATAAGCACCAAGGTCTTGTCTGGTCTCCGGATCCTTATATGGTCTTATGCGATTTTTCGGTCGGGGCGTTGCCTTTACTTCGGTGGCGTGTGAGCGGTGGCATCCTGGACCCGAAAGAACCCTACCCGAGAAGGGATGGGACATGACCCTATTTACCCTTGGGATCCATGTACCGAACCTCAGGTACGGTGATCTGAGACTCTTTATGTAGGTTTGGAGGGTCCAAGTACCTTCTTTATAAAGAAAACAATATAAATATACATATGTAAACAAAATCTGCTTATGACTGGGCCCCCATTGTTCTGACTATGACTGGGCCCATGACTATTGTAAAGAAAATCTGCCTATGACTGCAGACCCCATTGTTCTGAGGTACAGAGACTCCAGGTATTGGTGGTGAATGTCGGGTCC